AAATTTTGTTCGAAACGGTGTCATCCAGTAAATAATACTGTTTCACTGTGTGATATGCCTAATAAACAAACTAATATGGAATGTAAACCGGCAGTCTACAGAAATTGACATCACATACTACTGATGAGGAGAATGAGTAGCTTAACTATCACTCTTGTTATTAGTTAGTTATTGTTAACACGATTAAAACTGAGGTAATTTGAATCCTAGAAAAAATATCAGTCTTGAATCCAAAGTGAAACATACTTCTACTTGAAATTATACCATAAAATGTGTGAAAAAAATATAGTGAGTAATGCAAGTAAACTGATATTTTGTTGAACCATGTGGTTGAAATTCATTACGTAAGCACAAATATGCATAAATTTCTTTTTGAAAAACTCTAAAAAACAATTCTTAAAACTGTAACAGAAACTAGATAATTCGAATATACTTTTTGAATCCAACACTCAAGAATATGTTTTCTGAAATATTTGTAGTATTTTCTGTAGTAGGTTTGTAAGGATTAGTTTTGTTTTTACAAATTGATCACGGATTGATATCAGCTGGAGAACCATTGAAAACCCACAACAGGGAGTACTGGACAGCTGTTCCATCCTAGTTTGGAAATCACTGGCAGTATGCACCCACCAACGGGTTTCGGACCCGGGACCTTCCGGTTACAAGGCAAGCTCGTATACCATTCAGCCATCGGGACCCGGCCGGAAAATATCAAGAACAAAGGTCTCTGGAAGTCAGTGGATCAGCTAACTACCTAACATTCAACAAATATGAACAAGGAAATAGAGAGGAACTAGATATATACGATGTGCATTGGTGACACAGCGGTAAAATGCTCGCCAACCACGCCCAATGTGTTCCGGCGTTCTAACCCCCGGCCGACGCACTCCTTTACTTAGCTAAGCCAGTAATAAGACTGGTAGTATTTGTTATCCAAATTCAACTGCTTATAGGTCAAAAACTATGCGTGTCACTTGCAGCATTTACAAAAGGCCACTGCAGACCTTTATCAACAGCTGCCGCCTTCGCTGGCTCTATGTTGAAGATCAAATGGCCAGCTGACCACGGAGAATTAGCAGCAAGAAACTCTGCAGTGGAACAAACCAACCAAGAACCTATTACTCAACAAATATGTAGAAAAAAATGGAGATGAATCGGGCATATACTGTAAACAAAATCGTCGAATAATATCTCGCGCCAGCCCCTGGAGTGGAACCTGAATGGAAAACGACAAATAGGGCGTATGTTCAAGGGTGACATAAAAAAGATCGTGTTAGGATGTGATCAGAGAATATAGTCAATTGTGAGGCCAACCAAAGGGGATTACAGAAGACAGGCCATAGTGGAGACACGTTGTTGAAGCCCAGGTTCTACTCGGAAGCCAAGGGAACAATAATAATAATACAATCTAGCGTATTCCTATTTTTGGTAAACCTGTAGCGCTGATACCTATCAAGTGTAAAATGATTTCTGAAGGTTGATCCGCGTTGAGAAAAAACAGTTCAAGGATAATTATCGTAGTAGTTGACCCTATCGGCAATATAATCATTTTATGGGGATTGCATAGACTCAATGATCTGGTTGGTGTGATAAGATTTCATCGCAGATAAAAGGAAGTGTTTGTTGATCTTCATTCTAACAAATTCTTACCATCAGTAAAATGTATTCAAATTTTCATTCAGCAATGTGTGTCTCTGTTATACAGTAAAGTCAATGGACATGAAATATTGAAAATGGCAGCAATTTTTCAACTGGTTACTTAAAACTTAAGAAAGGAACACGCTGAATTGACAGAGACATTATTGTTTTTACTGACGTTTCGCTATTTAATGCTAATAGCTTTATCAAAGTATTGTTGAACCGGAATTTAAGAGGTGAGAAAGTAGACTAAGGTCAAGTTAAAAGGACATATTGAAAGTCAAAATAACAATGAAGATCACTAAACCAAATAACAGAGGTAATAGTACATCTGCTATGGTATCAAAACAATGTGTACTAACTTGATCATCGTTCGTCTGTCCGGGGTCATTTTTAGTTGTCAAGTTGGTGAATTGGTAAAGATAACAAAATCAAGTGTGGATTGTTGGATTTGATAAGTGAGTGAAATTATAAAAGTAGTGTGTGTTTGTTTACATAGTGAACTTGCTTATCACATTCGTGTTGATTTTGTCACTTGATGGGGGAGGGAGGCGTTGTAACCAGGTCAGATTCTGTTTTAGTCCATCGTTCCTATTCAGACAATTTGGATTCCACTTGACCATATGAAGTGCTTCTGATATTAGACGTTCTTTGTAATTTCTAAAATTTTTCTGGATGATGATTTCAATATTATCAAAATCAATTTTGTAGCCTGATTCTATAGCGTGTAGACCAATTATGGCTGGCTGATGACTTTTCAAGCTTTTCTAGTTCAACCAGATTTCTCAGTGGTCGAACAGAGGCGGCTCTACGGTGTTCATTTCTTCTGATTACCCTGACTTCTCGAGATGTTTGTCCGATGTATATCACACCACATTCCAAGCAAGCATTTTATTTTATAGACACAATTAGCTAGAGAATCTTTAGGGATTTGGTCTTTTATATGGACAAGGTTGTTTCGTAATGTGTCTGAAGTTTTAAAGAAAACTCTAATGTCAAGCTGATTGAGTACTCTTCTGATATCATCTGACGTCTCTGCTCTATATGGAATGACGACTGTTGATGTCCATGTTTTCGGAATGCGTTTTGGGCCATCCTTAATGTCTGTGTTGATTTTGTTGATGAAGTTCCATGGGTAGTTGTTTTGCTTGAGAGTTTCAGTAATGTTTGATATCTCTTCTTCTTTTTCTTTCTCGTCGGTTATCAGAGAGTGTGCTCGTCTAAGAAGACTTGAAACAACTGAAATTTTTGCGTTGATGGGGTGTGATGACTTGAAGTCTAAATATTTATTTGAGTGGGTTTTCTTCCTGAATATGGATATACTAAAATGTCCGTTTTCCTTTCTCTTAACTAGGCAGTCTAGAAATGGTAGTTCACCAACGTCTGATTCTGCTTCCGAAGTGAACTGGATTCTGGGAGATACACAGTTTATTTCCTCCATGAATGAATTGTGTAGATCTCGTTTTAGTACTACAAAAGTATCATCTACATATCTTAACCATATTTTAGGAGTGAGTATGCTTGGAAAGATGTTATTTTCGAATTTATTCATGAAAAGGTCGGCGACTATTGGGGAGACTGGTGAACCCATAGCAACACCATTTTTTTGTCTATATAAATTTCCTTTAAATGTAAAATAATTATTTTCTAGACAGAATTTCAAGCTCTTAATTATTTCACTGGTGTCCAGTGGACATCTTTGTGATAGCATTGTATCTGATTCTAGAAGACTGGAAATGATATCAAGACTTTCGGTAATAGGGATACTAGTATATAATGAGTTAATATCATAGGTTACCATAATGTCTTCTTTATCAATTTCTCGGTATTTTATTTGGGATTTGAAATCATATGAATTCCTGACAATATTTTGAGTGTCCTTTTGTAGTGGTTGTAGTATCGAGAGTAAGTATTTAGATAGGTTGTATGTCGGTGAGCTGGTGAAATGTATTACTGGTCTCAATGGAACTGTGGGAAATACAAAAACCTTTATTATTATTATGTAGGTATATTAGAGTTAAGCCTGATGAGATCTAATTGAAAACAATATCACTGTTCGCTTAAACGTGTTGTTCTAAATTTTACTATGGGAATATCTAATATATATATATATATATATATATATATATACAGATTTTGTAAATTCTGGTTTAATATTACTACTATGATAAAGCTATTAGCTGCAGCATTAAATAGTAAAACGTCAGTAAAAACAACAACGATATCGTTTTTTGTTTTCACAAGAAAAACTTTTGTAAACATAATCGAATAACAAACTCGGGTTCCTCGATATTACAATGACCAGGAGAGATGATGGTACGATTCAGAGATCTATTTTTCGTAAACAAACGTGGAGTGGACAATATCTTCATTTTACCAGTTTTGTTCCTATCCAGTATAAACGTTCCTTAGTGAAATGTTTGTTTTCAAGGGCCCGAAAAATATGCACGAGTGACACAGTGATGGAGGAGTTTCGACATATACATTCAGTTTTATTAGCTAATGGTTATCCGGAAAACTTTATCACTTGTCACAGTAAAGAAAGACCACATTTTGAAAAGACAGCTTCGGTACCAAAGAAAGCTATCTTTATTAACCTACCATTCAAGGGTGATCAGATTATGCAATTGACAGCTCAAAGACTCCGGTCAGCCATCAAACGCACATTCTACGCCGCATCTCTTTTCCTCACTTGCCGAACATTTTCAATCCCTGTACCTACGATTAAAGGACGAAATTCTGTGGACTCTACTTCAAACTGTATCTACAAGTTCACCTGCAGCTGCGGTGACACCTATATAGGTAGAACCAACAGAATGTTCCAATGTCGTCGGAAAGAACATGTTCCAAAATGGCTACTAAATCACATAGAAAATCCCAATGCCAGTAATCTGAATAGAAATCCAGCATCATCCATTGCAAAACACTTATTAATGTCAGGTCACAAAATAAATATTAATGACTGTTTTACAATTATTTCACATAACTCTAATTCAAGGTTATTGAAGGTGATGGAAGCACTTTGGATTAATCACATACAGCCTAAACTGTGTGTACAAAAATCAATAGACTTCAATCTTCGCCTACCCTGGACTACTTGACCTATATAAATATGATTGGTCATTAGTATGTACTTTTGTTTTTATTTAACTGAGTAATTGTCATGAACTTTATTTTATTATTGTTAACCATGTTAGTTGTAAAGCGGTTGTAAAGAAACTACGAAATGATATCATCTCGCGAAATTTGTCTTCTTAATGCCTTATTCATAATTAAAATCGTCTTATATAACTTGATTAGACTCATGCATAAGTATATATACATACACAGGACTTCATATAATAGACCAAACACAAACTCACATTCTGTATAATCTCTATCAATAAATCCTTTGAAGAATTCTTATCGTAACTGTTCAAAATTGACTCATTTGTCTCACGGATAAGTTTCTCATCATAATTATAAACGTGTTCACTATTCAACAGCGGATAATCCCTTTTCACAGACTTTTGATATTGAAAATTTTTAAACATTAATTCTAAATTAACTAATTTATAAAAATTATATTGAGGAAATTGTTCTGAGAATTGAAATTTTCCACTTTGTTTCTTTGATAGCACGGATTTTCGTAAGCGTATTAATCGATCATTTTTCCAATAGCCAACATCAATTTCAACTGGAGCTGATATCGTTGTTCTGCTTGTAATCAAAACACCAGGACCATAACGTTGATCTTCTGAGAAAAATCCCTACAGAAATAAATAAGCAAACAGAAAGTAAACCATTGTGATCTGTACAGATAACCCTAAGATAAGGAAATGTTTCGATGCGTGTGCGTTGGTGGTGGTACAGTGGTTAGGACTCACGCCGACCATGCACACCTGATATCCATTGGTCAGCCTGCAAAATCTGGGCTACCGATATCACATGCTGAAAATTCAATACCTGTATCAAAAAATACGGTATGGAATCAAGCTGTCATCAAAAAATCAACAACAAAAAAATAATCTGTAATTACGGATGCTTCATATTTTATATTTTTTGACTAACCTCAACTGCAAAACACTTCATGGAGGCGAGTTAGACTAAACGACATATAAAAGTAAAAATCATTCACTGTATACCTTCATAAGTGACTAAGATCTGACCAAGGTCATGTGTCTAACCCTTAGGCTTATTATTATTATTGTTTCCTTTAATTCCTAGAGGAACATAGGGTTTCAGCCGTGCGTCTCCATTGCGTTCGGCTCTCTGCTAGAGTCATCACCTGGCTCCAAGTCTGCCCACACGCTTTCATCTCCTCTTCACATGACCTCCTCCTAATCACCCTTGCACTGACGACCAACTCGCCGCTTCTCTTTCGGGTTCCACTCGAGCAATGGCTTGTCTAGTGATGTCACTTGATTGTTTCTTCACAGTATGGTCAGCCAATCCATCTCCATTTCTTCCTGCCTATTTGTTTCACAATCGGTTCCTGCTGGGTTGGTTCGCTCATTGCCAGAGATCTCTGTTGCTGATCTTGTCTGGCCGGCTATCTGATCTTGAGTATTGAGCGAAGAAAACTGTTAATGAAGGTCTATAGTTTGTCTGAGATGCTCTTTATGACACGCCAAGTCTCTGATCCATATGTTAAGTAGCACTGACTGATTTCACATTGGAGTTGAAAATCCGGATCTTATTTTTGATGCTGAGTGCTGTTGACCTCCACACAGACTTGAGAGTAATGAAAGCTTGTCTTGCTTTCCTGATGATTCTTGCTTTGATATCCTCGTCAGTTCCATCCGCCTGTAGTTGAAACGATGCTTCCCAGGTAGGTGGTAGAGGAGGTTGTTTCTTTCAGGTTCCTCCCATTTATGCTGATTGTTGTCTGTTGTTGTTGTTGCTGTTGGTGGTACTAACTAAATGTAGCCTTCAAACTAAGGGAATCATCACCACTGGTATATCACAAATCAAACCACACAGACTTATTACTTATTGCTGCTTGATTATCAAGAGTTCTGTGGTTAGCGTTAGTTACAAATGCAAAAAGTACGCAAAAGAATAAAGAAAATAATCGAAAAAATACACTTAATTTTCAAGAGTTGCTTTGTAGGCATTTGATCTGTTTTCAAGTGTGATATCAAGTAGAGAATCTTGAAGTGCTGGACAACCCTCTCATCCCAGTCTCCGACTTATCAGCATTATATACACGCTGGGTTTCGAATCAAAAGTCCTCCAGTTACAAGGCAAGCACGTAGACCATTAAGTCACTGAGACCTGGTCTAATGGTCAGCTGAATTCCAAACTCCGTCGACTCGTGGTTTTAACATGACCAACAGCCAGTAGCATTGGCGAGAGTTTGTCCTCACACCCTACCTGGTGGACCCCAGTGGTGGTCATGACTTCTCGCTAGAATTGGTTCCCAGTGACTGAATGGTCTACAAGTTTACCTTGTAATCGGTAGGTCCTGAGTTAGAAATCCAGTGTGTGCAGGTTGATGAAGAGCCGCAAACTAGGACGAAACAGTTGTCTAGTACTCCAGTGCCGGTTTCGTAATAATTCTCTAACTGATATCAATCTGTGGTCAAACTTGAAAATACACTTAAACAAATGTCTTAATTTTAAACGTACTAACCTCATAAACTGAACCATTTGAATATCGCATAATTCCATATCCTGATCTCTTATCTAGATAAAATGTTCCTAAATAATGCGATCCATTAGGCCATACATAGAAACCGTGACCATGTTTTTTATCATTGAAAAATGTACCAAAATATTTCTGAAAAGTAAATCAACAGATACGGGTGAAAAGAAAATCTGTAAGGATTAAAGAATAGCGTTGAATATTTCCTTTTATTTAAGTGGAACACTTTGATTAATTTCTGTTATATCTACAAATTCTCATAGTAAGGCGGGTGTTTTTTTTTGTAGGTTTTCAGGACCCTTCAGTACAGTGTATGCTAACAAATCAATAGAAGATATTTTTCCTGTAATGTCTTCAGTCTCTACAGCTTTACATTTACAGTTGGGTAATTACAAGCACTACATGGTGAGACATTGTAACGCTCCTAGGTGGATAACAATTTTTCACAAAGGCGGCCTACTTGAATCACTGGGCTGCCTGAATTTCTTTAATTCTTGCTGTTATAGTCATTCAATTATATCTGTGGGTTTCCAAATGTACTCGTGGACATTTTTAATTCGTTTACAACCTCCACTGTTGCTCAAATCTGGAGGGAGCAAAGAAAAATACCACAAAGGACTAATTTTATTCTTCAAATCGAAGAGCATTGCGTCACATGGTTTACTGAAGATGGCTGTTTTACTTGAAACTCCTGGATGAACAGCAAAAATATTTTGCTATAAACTACGCTGAATACTGTACGTGATGACAGTAATGTCTCAAGCCTTGATAAATGTGAAAAGTTTTTTGTTGAGCCTCCTTTTTAGACTGCACTGTTGCTTTTGACTCAATTTCTGGGGCACTTCTACTCAGCAAGCTGATCTCAGCATGTACTGCCTTTTTGGGTCACAAGGTGTCTGTCTTCTTATTTTTCGGGTAGAAAACAACATAGTGTTTTATTAAAGGTGAAGTGCTCCGTTTCGTTGCTAATGAAAACTGGTGTGCCTCAAGACTCTGTACTCTCTCTCTCTACTTATTTCTTCCTTCTTATCACATGGCCTTCGGTGCTCTTCCAAAGCTTATTTCAATAAATATACCGACGATCTAACCATTTCTGTTCCAGTAAGTTGTGAATCGGACTGTTCTTATATGAATATCTTTTTTGATTACAGCTTGATTCTTATCTGAAGTTAACGAGAGGTTCCGTAGAAATGGTATTAAACTGAATCCATCATAATGCTACGTTGTTGATTTTAGTTTCGGATGTGAATAAAACTTGAGTGGACTAACTGATTCAGTCGCTTGATTCCTGTAATACTGACGGCACTGTGACAGGAAGTAAATCGAACATCTCTCATCTCGGCATCAGTGTCTCTTCAAATCTCTGTTGGTCGTCTCACATCCTGTTGGTTTTTAAGGAAATTTTACCGTTGCCTTATTACATAAAGAACTTGAGACTTTCTGGCATCATAACTCAACCTCTTCTCTTATAATTTATTGATCCATCCATTCTGTCCATTCATCTCCTCTATTGTTCGACCTTATTCTTTCCTGGTATTCCCAAAAAAGACTGTATCACATTACATAGAGCATTGAAAGCTCTAGGCAGAGTGAGTGGTGTGCCTTTGATTCAGCGAACTGACAAAATTGTCAGTAGACACCTCAGTTCTTGCAAGCGTATGTTCCAAATTTATCTTCTCTGATACTGAACATCTTGTCTACTAATTCGCAACTATTTCCTTGTATATATTCGGTGGCTAAACCAGAATAAACTGCATAAGAATTCATGCTCATACGGTCACTAAATATAGAAATCCTACGATACCTCCACATTTATCACGAGTTTTGTGTGAAGAGAGAATCAGATGTCAGTAAAGAACTTATAAACTTTTCGAGTGAGTGATTACATGTTTAAACGAGAAATACAATCCGAGCATTCATAGAGGAGTATGTATTTATACTTTTCAGATTTCCATCGTTTAACTTCTCTGAAATGTGTGAATTTCAGCAAGACACTAAGCAATTACAGGAGACATTATTTCTCTAGTTACAAGCAAAGCAAATTACGAAGTTCAATAGTAAAACTTCAGTGGGACCAAACCAATCATCAGACTAAATCAAGTGACTGAAACTGAGCACGCATACAGAGGGCTAGTTTCGCATATGCCAGCTTACGCCGTCTCTGGTGTAGACGTGATATCCGGCTGGCTATCGACCAAATGATGTATGTACTGCTGAACAGTCCGCTCGGTTGTCCTTTATGGCTGTGAGACCTGGCCATTGAAAGTGGAAGGCATGAAAAGCACGGCTAGCTGTCTTTGATCATAGGTGTCTGCGTTGTACCTCCCGTGGGAAGTGGTAGGTGTAATAGGGTGAGTAATATCGAGGTTAGGCGTCGAGTGCTAGGTAAGGGGAGGGGAGATCAATCGACGAGGCTGTGAAGTTACATCAACTGAGGTAGGTAGTTAGGACATGTGTTACTCATGCATGCCTAACTATCGACTTCCTCGACAACAGGCAATGTTAGTTGACATAGGATTGTTCAGGTTGGAAAAGAGCCAATGGTGGTGAAACGGAAACATGGCTTCATCAATGAGTGAAGTCTAAAACAGTTAGTTTAAGCCACGTAGTATGTAGGATGTAGGCTTCGTGGTTGGGGTCCTCGGGACGGTAAACACCAATGGCTGGAGACAATCGGTGATATGGCTCAAAATCGTCCTCAATGAGTGGCGCAGATGCATCCACTCCTTGTGACTTATAATTTCCAACGTGACTATATTGTTTTTCGATATTCCTATTCCTTTTGTTTCATATACCTGTCTACTGTCTCTATTTTGCATTTCTTTTTACTTTCTTCTCTTGCTTTGTGTGCTACATGAAGGGAGAGTGGCAACTCGAACTGTTGCACATCCTTGCAAAGTTCTATGTTGAAAACAGACAGACAAACTTTTCGAATCAGTAATCTGAATTGCAAAGTATAAGCAAAGATTATTATTATCATTACATGTATTATCTATAATATTATCTGTTCATGATTCATTATGATCCCACCAACACTGAGCTTTTTGTGGTTTCGTTATTATTATTTTAAATATAATGTATGTGCATATTTATTTTTTTTTTGATTTACAGCTTGATTCCACACCGTATTTTCAGTACAAGTGTGGAATTTTCAGCATGGATATCGGTAGCCCAAATTCAGGTCGACCATAGATATCGGGTGTGCGCCGGCAGGGGATCGAACCCCGGACCATGTGCATGGTCGGCGAGAGTCCTAACCACTGTGCCACCGACGCACATTGCATCCTACTGGTCACGAAACCTAGTGAATGCGTACTTATGAAGAGTCCCAAACTAGGACGAAACAGCTGGCTATCCAATACTCCCTGGTGATTTTCCAATGGTTCTCTAACAAATATAAATTTGATTTTCTCTATGTCTAACTACCCAATACTTTTAATTACCCAATACTTCTGAGTGAAAACATATGAAACTGCTTTTCTGTAGCTGTACAAAATAACATCGGTGAAAATAATCTCTTGCTGTCTTTACTATTATTTTCTCACACCCCAACAGACTTATATCAATCACTGTGCATCATTACTGCCTCAACCTAACTGGAAAGCATTGTAGAAAAAAAATGTGTATTGAGATATACATCTACTCAGTTATTTGTACTCTTATGAGCACTATACTTGCCTATGAACCTTGAGCATATTATTCTTAATCGACTCAGTAGCACAATACTAGTCAACTCTAAAGCGATTCATTTTTTACCAACCAAACAATGAAATAAGCAATTACTGTCTGATGCATAATCAATTTTTTTATTCCTTCACGTTCCCAGTGGAACATAGGGCTTCAAGCTAGAGGCTTGAAGTTTCTGTAGCAGTGTTCATTTTTATTTTTTTATTTTTGATTACAGTTTGATTCCACATCGTATTTTTTGGTATAGGTATGGAATTTTCAGCATGTGATATCGGTAGCCCAAATTTTGCAGGCCGACCATAGATATCGGGTGTGCGTCGACTGGGGATCGAACCCCGGACCACGAGTATGGTCGGCGAGAGTTCTAACCACTGTGCCACTGACGTACAGGACAGGATGGGGTTGCTAGCCTCATGCCCAACCTTACCTCTTTACCAGCATTATTTCTGGCTTAGTGAGGTAAAGGAGTGAGTCAGCCGGAGATCGAACCCCGGACCATGTGTATGGTCGGCGAGCGTCCTAACCGCTGTGCCACCGACGCACTATAATCAATTTAGTGCTTGTTTATTTATGTCAAACTTGGTTGTATTTTATTACCAGGTGAATGTAGTAAAACTCAATTAGTTATTTACCAAAGTACTATCAGACGATACAGTAAACACATTAGAATCTCCGTGTACAAACTGTCTAGTTTCTGTAAATTTACATTACAATGAGGTCAGTATTCAGATTAATCGGAAAACTTCATTCCCTATAGTCTACCTCATCGACTACACTGATGCATAGCTTTGTATCAGGTTTTTTTTATGAAATCTATTCGAAAAGGTACACTACACTACTACTACTACTAAGCACTGAATTTTCCGTAACTTCCCTTATCTTTAATAACTCTAAAGAATGTCATAGATGTTAGTTGAACAGAGTAGAAGGAATGAAAATATCATTAACATAGTATAGAAAAATAGATATCTTCATACAATATTACTCACTTCTCCATTGTCCCACTGATAACAACCCCATGCATTCCGCTTTCCATTTAGAAAATCCCCATAAAACAAATCACCGTTTGACCATTCTTGTGATCCTTTACAAAAGTCTTTATCCGTTACAAAAAACCTTCCGTCTGAGCAAACTTGGTCAGCTTCATCGTCATCATAATCCTTAAAGTAGTTGTCAACATGTCTGTTGTACGCATAATCAATTTTTTCATGTGAAATATCTTGAAACTCATCATTTTCATAAGATTCATCTTTAGTATAAAATATATTTCGATCAATATAAACAGCCATAGAAGTAGTAATCAATACTGAATGAATATAGCTCAGAAATTATTCATAAAGAATTCCATTTTTAGCAGCATATTTCTCACCAGGAATTGTAGATATCTAAAATAACAACCAAAACAAAAATCATATGAAGGTGACATTGAGTAAAAGGCATGCTTTCTGAAAAAAAATTCTAATCATGGAATGTCTTTAAAATCAAACTAACCCAGTATAACAATAAATAACTTTCCGTTTAACAGGAAAATTCCTATAGTCCTTAATTCTTTTTTTGTAAATCATCATTCCCCGATAGTACTGTCAGGACATTTCGATTTTTCAAAAGCAATCTCTAAAGGTATTTTTCCAAGTCATTTGAGAATTGTATCAAAAATAAAGGTGTCATTGATAAGACATACATTTTGATGACGGTGTAATTATTCTAGGCTCGGACTTTGAAGTTGTTCAGTGATGTTCTGACTGAACATTCATTAAATGACCGATATACCAGTCAGTGTTGTACATTTCCTGAACTCTGTCCCATTTCATTGAATTTGCACTCTAACCTCCAGTATTTTTAGGCAGAGATTCTGACTTCCTTATAAGTTTTATCTGAAGTATTATTTCTCCAAAAGAGTAATAAAACTAGTAAAGCGTCCACAACCTAAGCTGTCTAGTGTTGCTATCATGTCTATTTTAATCCCCTTATTTCTGCGTTTATATAGTTGAATTAATGTCCATAGCTGTTTAATGGCAGTAATTTGAGAGAAAAACTCAGTGAAACCTACTTGCTATATGGTGTTCTGAAATTTGAAGCCAAGAGAATAGTTTAATCCGCCTAATTTTGTCGAGTTTGGGATGACAGTCAGCTCTCCACCTCAATTTCATTGACTTTGAAAAGTCTTTCAGCAGACAGCGTCGATTTAGAGGTGACTTAGAAACTACTTCGCTACTACGAGGGGCCGCCAATAATTATACATCTCATCTAACAGGTGTACGATAATGCTGCATACAAAGTAATCCACAACAAGAAACTCACGGAATCCTTCGAAGTGAAGACGAGAATAAGACAAGCTGGCTAACTACTACTATATCCAATGATTCTCTTGATTGTGGTAGACTGGATTATGCGACAGACAGTGGCGAAAAACGAGGAGACAGGCATAAAATAGACCCGCACAAAAATCTTGGAGGATCTGAACTTCACCGATGATATATGTCTGACTTCTCACAAACCGGAAGATATGTAAGTGGAAAGCAACAAGTTGGCAGAAGAAGTATCAAACATTGGACTTCCTTCAGGTGAACATAGAGAAAAGAGAGGTAACGAAAATTCCTGGCCAACAGCAGCAGCAACAACAACAGACAACAATCAGCCAGCATATATGGGAGAAACCTGAAAGAAGCAAACTCCTTCACCTATCTACCTACCCACCTACATGAGAAGCATCGTTTCAACTACAGGCAGATGTAATTGATGAGGATAACATCAAAGCGATGATGATCGGGAAAGCAAGGTGAGCTTTCATTACTCTCAAGTCTGTGTGGAGATCAACAGCACTCAGTATGAAATATAAGATCCGTATTTTCAAGTCCAATGTAAAGTCAGTGCTACTATACGGATTAGAGACTTTACACGTCATGAAGGTCACTTCGAACAAACTACAAACCTTCACCAACAGCTGTCTTCGCTCGATACTTCGCTCAAGATCAGATGGCTGGCCAAAAAAGATCAGCGACATGGTGGGATTTCTGGCAATGAATGAACCGATTGTGCAAGAAATAGGCAGGAAGAAATGGAGTTGGATTGGCCATAGTGTGAGAAAAGAAATCATCAAGTGACATCAAACGCCAGGTTTTCACTCAAGTGGAAAACGAACGGGAAGCTGCGAGTTGATGGTCAGTGTGAGGGTGACATGAAGGAGGACATGTGAATAGGAGATAAAAGCGTATGGGTAGACGTGGACCCAGGTGCAAACGTTGGTGGGGAACTGAACGCAATAGAGACATCAGGCTTAAGCTCTATGATCCTCTAGGAACTAATTTTGTCGCACTTTTTAAACGAGCTTTGTTTCAAAACTGGTGGTTTTAATCGAATTTTTTCTCACATCTACAATGGCTGTATACTAAGACGTGAGATTCGTACCACTCTGTAGAATATCAACACCCTCTGCACTATGAATTAGTTAATCTCACTGGTTCTACAACTTTTGCCAACCAACCAAATAAACGCCACGGAATGTTGCATTCACGTTAAAAACGTTTAGTTCCTTATGCGCAAGATGCATTATACTTCCACCCATCTAAAGTGATGGTTAATTGGCCCTGTGAAAAACAACTTGGAAACTTCCATTTAGAAACCCGTTATGATAACCCGGATCATTCTTTCATATTCAACTGATTACCACTGTCATAATCTTCTCAAATATTTTCAGTAATTTTGTGCTAGCAGACAGTTCTAAGGTGTAATTAGAAGTAGAATACATTCCTTTGTAACAGACAGCAATTTTGAAATATATATCACATGATGAAAATCCTGATATTTTGTGCATTTACGTAGGCTATAATTTAATTATTCTCCCGAGAGAATAATGGTTGCGGGCGCGTAACTATTTGTTCCTTAGGTAACCATCCAGACACTTATCGCAAAAATTTCTAGAAACTGCATTTAATGACAATAATAAAATTGTTTGCAATTATACAACCCATGAACACAAGTAAAATCTAAAAAATTCCGGAATTAATTTGTAAATCTGCGATGCGTTGTTATGACTGTCTAGGTCGAACAGTAGTCCAATATCCAATATTGTATTCACGAGCTGGTGTAAACCGATTTCATTTCTCTGTGCTCACTTCTTGGTTGTCAGGTGAAATCTGCTAGTCTTCGGTAAACCTCTGCATAGATGTCATAGATTTGGTTGACTTCAAAAGGGGTGGTGCTGGAATTAATTATATGTTGTTTGTAGTATGTGGTGTGTTCAGTGTGTTCAGACTTCGTTACTAATGTGAATGCAGTTAATCATTTCACCAGTTAGTCCCTCAGTATCATCAAAAGAAAAGAGATTATAATAACAGATTTAATTAGTGTAGGTTATTCAAACTAAAAGACAATAAAAAATAAAGAAAACGTAAAAACGGACAGCTAGTGAAATTTGAAGCTGATATATATATAAATGTAGACCTAGTAGTTGGAGTAGTCAGGAGAATAAGGCGGGAGAAAATGTAGAGAAGCATAACGATGAGTTTAGATGTCTACCTACGAAAGATAAATGGGATTTTAAGTGGATAGGCCGTTTGGACTCAGTCCTTGTGTCGCTGCATGACTGTCCGGCCTTCGTTTAAAGCCGAACACAGACGGTGCCATAGCTACATCTGCCGGTACGGAGTTCCAAGGAAGGCAAACCAGCAGTGAAAACAAGTGGGAGCGCACCCTAGTCTTCGCCCTCTGGTGAGCTGTTCTTCTGGGATTTCCACGAGGAAGCCCATATCTACTCGGTGGCAGAACACCTTTTTTCGATGATTCTGTTCATTTGTTATCTTGTAGGCAGTAATCAAGTCCCAACTAAGTCGATGGAAGCTAACTGTGAAGAGACCTAATTTCTTTTGTCGTCCATCATACAGTTTATTTCGGAGACCCATCACTCCGTTTGTCGCCCATCTTTTGGCTCTTTCCAGGAGGTTTGTGACTCTTCTGACCAGTGGGGGCAATTATATTATTCACCTCAAGGTGTGGTCTGACGTATGTTTTGTACAGCCTTAGAAATAGCTCAGGGGTGACTGCACCTAACTGTCTATGTGTAAAGTGTATGACCGCATATGCCCTCGCGTACATCCCCCGTGTAATTTACGCTTGCGTCCACTTTTCCGTCAAAACTAGACCTGAGTCGCGCTCCGACGTTGTGCAGGACAAGCTTTCATTGCACAGGGTGTAACTTGCGTTCTGCAGTCTACAGGTGCGTAACTTCACTACTTTGCACTTTTTGAGTTTGAAAGTCATACCACTGGCCACCGCCCAGCCTTCTAGGAGCTTTAGATCTGTCTGCAGCCTATCTGAGTCCTCCGGACACTTTATCGCCCTCCATATCTTTACGTCATCAGCGTATAGGAGGGTCGGGTAGCTTGGATGGCATGGTAGATAAATGATGAAAATCCAAAACATCAGTGGTCCTAGTATAAACCCTGTGACACTCCTCATGAAGAGCTGTGCCAAGATGATCGGACTAGATTAACCTTAGTGCAAAATTTCCTTCCAGCTAGGTAGTCCTTTAACCATGATAGAAGCGGCTTAACTATACCTGCCTGACTTATTTTGTGTAGGAGAAGGTCATGGTGAACTGTGTCAGATGCCTTCTCAAAGTCTAGGAAGACCACATGTACTAGAACATTCATATCCTGGCATGATGTCCATTTGTCCCAAGCGGATAGTAGGTTCGTTGCACAGAATCTGTCCCTCCTGAAACCGCGGTGGGCTTCATGAAGTCTATTAGTCCTATCGAGGTGCTCCCTGATGTGATCACCAATAATACTTTCCAGTGATTTCGATACCGTTGGGAGTAAGGCTGCTGGTGATATTTTGCCTGCCCCCTCTTGAAAATCGAGGAAAGGATGGCTCTTTTCCACCCACTTGGCAGTTTCCCCGAATCTATCGAGTGTTGGAACAAGTTGCATAAAGGCCTACAGAGAGCTTCAGCACACCGTTTCGGAACAGACGGCCAGGTCTCTACGGCTTCCCTAGTATTGTTACCAGGTTTATTTGGGGAGTAGCCGCTAGGTTTTCCTCCAGTTAAGTAGTAGTGCCGACATTTCGCTCCGTAACAGTAATTCCCTCATCGCGAAGGCTAAAATGGGTGTTTTGACCATCTCCAGACCAGCGAGGTATTGACCGTTTGGACCTACTAAGCCGCATGCCCCTGGTTGGTTGGTTTTCTCTCCAACGCGAACCAGTACAGGCTTCTAGGGTTAGCAGTGACTTTTTTGTCAAGGTTAACCTGAAATGACCTCCTGTCACTCCTGACTCTCATGTTGCACCAGTTTCTAAGTTCCAGGTATGCATTGTGGTCGGTGTGACCCTCGGATATTCGCCACGTAGACCAAGTCTTCGCTTTGCTTGTGGAATGCGTCGCATGTCCCTCCTCAGTCCTGAGGACCAATTTCTCGGCAGTGTTGTGACTAAACGGACGGTATGCGAGATCGCCATGTTAATAATCTCTCTTCCTAGCGTTCGTCCACGGTTGACTCTTCCCAGTCCATGGGCCCATCTACATTGGATAAAAGCCCTCTCATTCCGACATAGTAGGCATTGTTACAGCACAGACATAATGATGATAGTTTATATTTCTTATAAACGGGTGTTTACAAGAAATGCATGCCATTTTTACAGGCACTTGCAGTTATGTTATAAATTACAATCATGAAGTACAGTAAATTAATACTTTTTCAAAAGTTTAAATTGTTCGATTATTGTACGAGCGATCAGAACAGGTTCTTATAAATTTTAAATTGTAAACCCCTCACTAAGGTCACCATCAAAGTTGAGCGACAACCCAAACTTCGTTCCGCTTCTTGCTGATAGTTATGGTCAGCCAGTGAACACAGTATATTTGGGTAAGTGCTATGCCCTCACGTGATTCAAAGCTATTTTAGGAAGAGGAGAACGTCCTGAGAAACTGCAAAATGGCATAAAATACAATTACGGATAACATATCATTGGAAGAACACTTACAAAGCATATACAAGAAGGAGCTGGGGGCGGGTAATTCTGGTGTTTTCCTTTGTCTTTGGTCTACGCGGAACGAAAACTATAGAAGTTGTGGGTATAAGATCTTGCGTTAATACAATTCGTGCTATCTGTGAACATCAACACACTTAACCTCTAAATAATCCTATAAATTCTAGTCTGCAAATGAAGCTTATGCTGGAGCAAGGCATGTGTCACGCTATTCCTGAAGGTGAAGGACGGCAGTTAAGTGATGATCACATGGACCTCACCCCGTTTTAAGACTTGATGACGTATGAGGATACCTTGACTTCCCTGAATTATGTGAACAGTTTAAACTTAAGTTCTGTTCTCGAATAAAATGCCAGATGACTACCTGCTTGATTACAAAGAAAGTGTATCATGATCGATGGCCTTATAAAACAGGAAGGCCTGGATGTTATTCCGATACCGATGAAGGATAGTGTTAACCAAACGATGAGCAAGTCTGCAAGTTTGTTACATATCACTAC